ATGATATCTGTGCTCACCTATATATATATACACACACACACACACACACACACACACACATATATATATATATATATATATATATATATACACACACACACACACACACACCTAGAGAGAGAGACACCTATCTCATTGAACTGGAAGGGACCCTGAAAGTTCATCGAGTCCAGTCCCCTGCCTTCACTAGCAGGACCAAGTACTGATTTTGCCCCAGATCCCTAAGTGGCCCCGCTCAAGGATTGAACTCACAACCCTGGGTTTAGCAGGCCAATACTCAAACCACTGAGCTATCCCTCCCCGCCCACTGAGCTATCCCTCCACTTACTTTGATGTGGGGGAAGGAAAGATAGAGTCTGCCACAGAACCTTGGTGGGCTCCAAGATAGCTACATTAATCAGAGTGCCACCCAAGAAAGTCTAGCAGTTGCTAAAATGTCAATCAGCTTGTGGGATATCATGCAATCCTCTTCCACCTGGATATCCAAGGCAGAAACCACCCTTTTTAAAAGGTCCTGGTGGGCCCTACAGTCATCCAAAACCACTGCCTCATCAGGTAATGAAGAGGCCAAAGCCATAATTGGCTGAGGTGGAGCCTCCTCTGGCCTTTCAAAAGGAGAGTCACCTGAGCAATGTCTTCCTGAATGGTACTGAGCATCATACTGGGCACGGACTCCTGGTGTATTTAGTGGGATGGTTCTTAACACCTACTTGATGTCACAGAAGGGGGTGGGCATGGAGAACACCCAGACATCAGTAGGAATCCCAAAGCGTTCCAGGATGGCCACTGGTAAAGCCCAGGAACTCCAATTACAACAAAGAGTGGTAAGCCCTCAGAGGGAAACGGCAAGGTACACGATATGACTGTGAGACGTATGAGCAGACCTTTTAGTCTGAAGATAAATCAACCTCTTCTGACCAACGAAGGCTGGGGAGCTGATCCTGTTGGTGCCTGTGATCAGCGTTGGGAGCCTGCGGACGACAGTACTGGAGAAATCATCGCTGGCTTTCCTCCTCACAGCACTGTATGATCAGACATTCAGATATCCAGAGATGCCCACAGTATTGAACACAATATTGTAGTAGCTGGCAAAGCGTGACCGGCAGTTGTCGGTACCATCTTAAAAGACATCTGTACCATGAGCAACACCGGTACCTAGAGGCTGAACAAGTCCCTTCTCGCAGCAAATGCCTCCTGAGTTGATGGCACAGGTATAGCCTCCAGTTGGTGGGTTGAAGCAGACTGCACTGATTAGGTCGATAATGCCTGTGCAGGAGTCGATGGTCTCAGCTTCAAATTGACTATTTCCATTGTCTGCATGCCTGCCAGCCTTCAGTACAGGGGATCTTCCTTTCACTGACGTTGAGTCCTTGGAGGCCAACTTACAATGTTTGTCTTCCTCAGAGATAAGAAAGACAATCAGTGCTGGGACTCAGCAAATACAGGTGGAGCACTCCTCACTGAAGCCAAAGTGCTTTGGCACCCATTCAAAGCAGGAAGTCTCTGAGATGGTGGGAGCAGAGCTGACTATCAGGAGAAATTAAAGTCTGGCCTCCCTGTGTTTCTTGGTTCTAGTTTAAAGTCCCTGCAAATTTGACACCAATCCCGACATGCAACTCCCCATCACGCTTCAGGAAACTTGGGGGGGAGGGTGTCTCTCACTAGCACTGGTTTCTTGCAGGAGCGGCAGTGCTCGTATCCTTGTGACTGAGGCATGCCTTGGCAATGGTAACAGTACTCAGAACAGGAACTGAAGTGTTTTAAAAGATAAACACTAAAAAGAAAATGTAACTATCACTAACTAACACTATAAACTACTAACCTATCAGTGCCAGTAACAAGGACTGGGACTAAGGCAGAGATGATGTACTCCATCCAAGAACTAGAGTGGTGGTGATAGAGATTTTGAGGAAATTCCTTGCACCTAAGTGAATGAGCTCTAGCCAATGACTGGACTGATGTTAGCTAACTTTTAAGGATTAAGCATTTCTTCAGTCCTTGGATTGTGAGAAATTGATCTCTATGTGCCACTGTAAAGGTGGAGAGAAATGTCATAAAATGAAAGAGAGGATAACATAAGAAAGCACAAATCTAGTTTGTGGACAATAAACAGGATAAAGTGAACTGTCTCAGTGCATTTGTTTTCAACCTTCATCATGCTTTTGCATAAGAATTATTGTGAGTTACAACTTACTGAGACACAGAAACATATCTTTGTATTATTTGTTATCACTAGTAGCTATGTGATGGAAGCTATGATCAGAGGTCTGGACCAATGAAGTGGAGATTTTTCAAGGTTCTGGAATTAGGAATGTATATAGGCAAATATAAATAAAAAAATGCATTACATGTCCAGGAGGACTTTATTTTATGCAACTTTTCAAGATGTGTTGGCTATTTTATAGACAATGTGCCAGATTCTACGCTGATCCTTTCAGAGGAAACACAGAATGCAAGATACAGCTCAAGAGGACTGGAGGGGCAGAGGTGCTTTTATTACATCCTTTCATCTCCTGGATTTTGGGCTGCTCAGGATACTGGAGTGACTCCCTGAATAAGAGTATGTCCTGCCAATGGAGCTGTTCTGCATCCCAGAATTACAGGTATAGCGTGTCATCAATCCCTCTCTTGCTCTTTGCATCACCACTCTGCCACACAGCATGATCCTATAATGGGGAACATTTAGAATGGCAATAGAGGGCCACATAGGTTTGCACTGCGCTAAAGGAATTACGTATGGGCCACAGTGAGGGCTGGAATCTGGCCCAATGTGAGACTAGAAAACATTGAGTGCATGGAGCTATAAACGAGCTGTCAATGTGGCTTGGGCATTTCTTTAAGAGATAAAATATGAAACCAGCTATGTCAGATCCTCCTGTTGGTTGTCTAGACAACTGTGCTACCTTATAGAATTCCCATCCATTTTATTCTTAACACTGAAGTGTGTGAACCAATACAAATTATTCTAACTAGGTACTGCATGTATAATTCTAGCAAAACAAATTTAAAAGAAACTAAACGGTGACTCATTGTATCCTGACAGTTCTCATATTGACAACCGTTCAACTTTGTGTATATATTCCCCATAACCACATTTGACATCTAGGTGAATCTGTTGACAATACCAAGGAGTCCTTGCGGCACCTTAGAGACTACATTTATTTGGGCATAAACTGCCACAAGGACGCCTCGTTGTTTTTGCTGATACAGACTAGCAAAGCTACTACTCTGAAACCATTCCTTAAATGTAATTTTCTAGGTGAGAGGTCACGTTCATACCAGAGAGTTTCATCCTCAAAAGTGCACTTAGAGTAGACCACCATAAAAGAGAATTCCAGGACGACACATGGCCATGCTTGAAAGTTTAAGAGTTATTAACTCTGTATATAGTTAGATAACAGTCCCATTTTCTAAGTCTAGCCAGAAGTTTTACCCATTGGTATGATCACAAGATCCCATGGCTGCTTTTCCCATTAGAAGCAAAGATAAACAAATTTTAATTTTCAGCTTCCAACATCTAAGATTCCCACTCCCCAATCGTCTATAACCAACTCTGATGGGAGGAAAGGGAAACACCATCTGCCCCATATTAAACAGCAAGAGTACCTTAAACACTGCACTCTGCTCAGATGGGGCACCTTGCATTCCTTTCCATATCTTAACAACTTGATGCCTCCTGTGAAGGGAATCAGCTGTTCCCCACCAACATCCAAAAAGAGAAACCAGGTTAGTAATATCCTTTTTTGCCATACAAGTTTCTTTTTCTACACGGTGGGCAAGGATGTTGGGAAGAGAATACTACTAGTAAACTCCAAAAATAGATGAACGTACAAAATGGGTACTACTCTGTACTGCATCTGTTGCCCCAAAGAGGCATGATATTTTGAAGCCAGAGGGCTTCCAGATTCTAGCAAATATATCAACCTGGATATGAGCATAGACATGATATACTAAAGAGAGAAATAAATGTATTATGTAAGCACCACTCACATTTCCATCATTGAGCATTTAAACATAGCAAATTCTTTTAAATTACTATAGTATGCATTAAAGAAATCCCACGTATAGTATTAAAACATAGAAAAGATGTTTGTGCTTTTATTTCACAGAAACTCAGCTGAAGTGTAACTGAGATATGACTGAGTGGCCTAAACTGAACCAATGGTTAGATTATTTATAGTGACAGCTAAAGGGACTAAAAACAAATGCCAGACATCCAAACAGTATTTTAGAACAAATATCTTGGTAATATAGATACTGGGATGGAAGTGATATCAAATATTTTGTCTGGTAAGTTAAAAGAAATAACCCTTAAAACAAGCATGTATAGTTGTCAACTGAAGTCAATCTATGCCAGGATATTGCTTCCTTCATGCAAGTGTAAAGTTTGACTTGAGTTTGTTGATCACAAATCAAAGGTTTTGACTTTTACTACTTCAGGCATACAGTGTTAAGACCTTGAAATACAGCTAGCTTTTCCATGGCCAGATTAAAATTTTTGAAAATTTTAACCTGAGTTCTGAGGGTTAATTTTTAACATTAAGACCATTACTCTTAAAATTATTTGAATACAATCCCTCCTTTAGCTCTGCATTGAAGACACATCTGTACAGAAATTTCAATTAACTTGCAGTGGCTGATCCAATTTATTTATTTGTGAATTTATTTAGTGCATCTGTTCACACTCACTCAGAATATGTGTAAAACCTGAATCACTTACAGTTCAAACACAACATGATTAATCCAATTCACAGAGCACTTCTGCCTTAGGAAAAGCCAAACAAAATTAAGATACTTGGAGAAAATTGAAGCTTATTGTTTCACATACTGTGCTAAAAGTATACATTGGATTGAATTTTGAAGAGTGCTAAGGGCATTCAGCACTTTGGAGAGTCTTATCCAACATGTCTTGTTGGAAAAAGTTATCTAGGAGTAACAGCTTTTTCTAACTCATAGTTCAAGATAGGCTTTAGTCTGAAAAGTCTACATATCTGTTTCTAAGCACGGTGAACAAATAATATACTTGCACCATAAACATTTTATAAATACTTATATCCAGCTAGTCTCGTAAGAAATGAGGAAAAAATCTAGACTTGAAAAATTTACTCAGAACTGCTTTTACACATATACCACTTTAAAATCATTAGGAACAATTTTACTACCTGGCTCAATGCCAATAAAAGATGTTTTCCATCTTTCTTTAACTTCACTGTCCTCTAAATATGCCCTCAGGCAAAAAGCCTGGTCAGATAGGCATTGCTATTCTGCATTATCTAGAGTCTGAGTGGTCTCCAGGTGCAGCTTTTTGTAGAGCACATTACAGTAATCTAATGAGACAAAGCTATTATAACTATGCAAGGTCCACATCTAAAAAGAAGTCATGATTTGCTAGCCAAACATAGGTGGGAAAGCAAGAAGATACTAACTTGCTCCCATAACCTGAAGAGGTAGAGGCAAAGAGCCACATAAAGGAAAAAATTAGGATTCAGAATTCTAAAGTAAAAAAATTCTCCTACCTCAGTTTTTGGGCTCAAGTCCATATCTTTATTGTATTTCAAAACTATGGTCAGCTACAGTTATTTTATACTACTAAGCAGTTTATTCTGAATATGATTTCTTCACAGTTACATATTTTCCTCTCGATCAAAGCCATTTGACATAAAAACATTAGTCATGGCTCCACAGTTAAGGTTTGGGGGAGTACTGCATTTGAAACAGAGACTTAAGTGGCATTATGAATGAAGAACACATTGTATCTTCCCCAAAATTAAAGCTCTTTCTCGAAGTACAGAATGAATAAAAAGTTTTAAAATATTTTTTAAGCAAATGTTTTTCACTATTTACCAAATTTAACATACATGGATTCATAAGTAACTGCTTTCACCTGTGGGTTACAAGTCAAAAAAGATTTAAATTTTCTTTTACATCATTTTTCCTGGTAGGCACAGTGCACTTAAGATATCTGAAGTGAAAAGCTTAATAAATATTCTCCACCTTTCATCCAATTTGGCTTTCATATAGAAAACTGCTTCAGAGTTGCCATTGCAAATTCAGTTACAGGAACTGCAAGTCGTTTTGGGAGTAACACACCAGCGTAGCCTGCCTACAAAGCAAAACTAAAAGAGGGATTCCATAAAGCCAAATATAAAAAACTTGTTAGCCTTTAAGGCAAAGATTTGTCTTACACAGAGGCTCACATTTCACAAGAAAAAGCCACTGACAATATTGATGCTTGAACTGCACTAACATACCTATGTAATGTAAAACGATATAATAATACATAAATATCCGCAACAAAGGGCGACTTTCTATTTTTATCACTCATGAAAATATCTAAACAGAAGATAACTTTACTTAAATGTATAAAAACTAAACTTACTGTACCTTTTCTATAAGAGAAGACATTCCTGAATGCCTTGTATCTAACAAGGGAAGAGTATTCAAGTTATATTTTTGAAAGTGCTATACAAATCTCATCCTCCAATGAAATCTTAGTGGGCTAAGTCAGTGGTTCTCAAACTTTCCAGACTACTGTACCCCTTTCAGGAGTCTGATTTGTCTTGTGTATCCCAAGTTTCACCTCACTTAAAAACTACTTGCTTACAAAATCAGACATAAAACTACTAAAAAGTGTCACAGCACACTATTATTGAAACATTTCTTTCTTTCTCATTTTTACCATATAATTATAAAATAAAGCAATTGGAATATAAACATTGTACCTACATTTCAGTGTGATACTTGAGCCTGTTTTTCACGTCTGAGCCTTGTCTGAAGCCTGAGCCACAGGCAGCAAGGGTTGCAGCATGTAACTTAGTTTCCTGGGGCCCTCTGTGGCATGAGGCCCCAGGCAACTTCCCTGCTTGCCACCCCCTAATGCTGGCCCTGCACTTGCGATACCTTTAAACCCATCCTGTGATTCCCCTAGGGGCTGCAACCTCCAGGTTGAGAAACACTGATCTAGATGAGTTGAATATGTGTACTCCTGGTTGAGAACCACTGGGCTAAGTGCTGCAGTAACATTTCACCTCAAGACAAGTCAAACCAAAAAGATTTGCTGATCTCTGTAGCTTGGATGTTTGACCGCATCAAAAACACTTTGCTGTCTGTAATGGTCGGCAGTATCTACTGCGGAAAACCAAATGACAGGTAGCAAGGAGTATTTATAGGCCAGGCTGGAGATGAACTGTTTGTACTGTATGAGGAAGCTATTGGCTGTAGCAAGCTTAGGCTCTAGCCAGAGCTATCAGTCCTCACTTTTATAAACACCAAGTTCACTCACAAATGAAATTAAAACATAAGTGTCAGTGCTGGCCACTGTTTTTCCTCATTAAAAGAACCTCTAAGTTTAAAAGTGAAATGATGTATATTTATGACAATTGCACTGATTTAATAAGTAACAATCATTTATATTTATATTCTTAGGACATGGATTTCACTAATGAGTAGTTTTTGTTGTTGTTTCTCATTTTTACTACTATATTACTTTTGATAAATAAATTTGCTCTTTTTAGGTTGTTACCATATCAGCATTTATCCTACCTTTAGACACACAGACATGCCTTACTTTTTGTCAAGTGACTTATCAAGATATACACACAAACAGATGAAAGTGTTACAAGATGCATTGTATCTTGTGTCTGAAATCAATATTGGGCCTAAACATTTGTAAACAGGATTGCAAATGTAATAAAGCTATAATAGGGGTGATAGGAACCTTTTACTTCTTTCCTCTCTCACCAAGGATAACCACATTTTAATTCCCCTTCCCTTCAAGGGATCATATACTATGGCCTCCTCTTGAGCTGAGGCAAGGTGGACATGGATCCTACCACAGCACTCATAGCAGCTGCCAAACTTGTTGATTCCTTGTATTGTGCTGCTGTAGGATCACTAGGCTTAACCATATTACAACTTTTTGAACTCACATAAAAATATATTTAGACCTATCAATATTGGCCCACAGAGAGAGAATACTTAATTCTGTTTTATTATTTCTAGGTTTAACGTTTTGTATTCTACTGTACTTCCCTACCATACAAGCATTTTTTGTTTATGCAATTAACCCAACGCTATTTGCACTTATTTTAAAATATTTTTAAATTCAAGCTTTTTTTCCCCCCCAACCACTCTCTACAAACTTTTTACAAGTGGCGTGCAATGTGGAAGACCTATGTATTTTCTCTTATAATAAATCTTAAAAACAAAGCACTATTTACCATCTCTCTTTTGGAAAGTTCTTTACAATTTCATTAATGATTGGCTGGTAGCAGGAATCTCTCTCAGGTTTCCCCGTTTCACTCCAGTCTCTTACAAACTGTTTCAAAGTGGACTTTAATTTATCCATGTCAAACGTTGAGGCTGGCACAATCTTCCCATTTTCCTGATTAAAGGGCAAATAAAAGTTAGACAAAATATAAATCCAGAAATTTAAGACGTCAAACAACCTTAGCTTTGAATACTGAAACAGACATGCTGTAGCAGCTATACGGGTGGTTTAGTTGATAAAGCACTCGCCTCTCACCTCTGGGACCAGGGCTCAAATCCAGCTTACAGTCATATATGAAATGAGTTTGGTGGTATCAGCTCAGCCCTCAATAGACCAGGGTCCACATCACAAAACCAATATATAATATAGCATAATTCAGCACAACTGGTAGTCCTTATTCAGGAAAGGACAAGGGGTGAGCTAGTATGGAGACCGAACAACCTCTCACTCTGAGAGGGAGGTCCCTCCAGGTCATTGATGAGGCAGCATGGAGAAGCTCACACTGGAGCTGCCCAGAACTGTACCCAGCCTATGGATACAAAAAAAAAAAGAAGACTTCAGTTTCCGTCACTGCCAGTCCCTTAAGCTTCATAAGTGTAAAACTTCATTAAAAAAAATAGATATGGCATACTAAAAAAAGGTAGATCAAGTAGGGGGGAAATTATGATAAAATTGTACAGAACTATAATACCACAAATAGTTAATTTACCTAAAACACATAGGTGATTAAGAATGTTGTAAACTAATGTACTACAAAAACACTATTTATGATCAATGCAGCCAAGTGAAAAGTCAACCTTAGAAAAATAACTTGGGTAGAGTTAGAACTCCATTGGAGTTCTATCATACTGATCTGTTACTAAGAGTACTTACTGACAACTTGCCATAGCAGACAAGTACTGTTCTCCTGAGTGATTAACTGTACCTCTATATAGAAAAAATAGCCAGAGATGCCTTTATTGAAAAACTATACAATATAATTCATCAGGCCTATAAGACATGCAAAGGTTGGGGGCAAGGTAATTAAGCAAATATGAATTCATAAGGGAAGTGGGGAGGGACAAAAGAAATGGAAATCTGAAGTGAGAAAAAGAAATATAACTAACAAATGTACAGAAATTTTTACTTCTGAAATATGAAAAGAGTCCAATTTTTACATACATCTTCTCCATATTCTTTATTTTCAAACATATGTTTGCACTCGTTCACAATGGTCTGTAGGATCTCTTGATTATGATCAATGCATTTCCGAATCTTGTCCAGATGAAGAAGAAATTGAGGAAGTAGGTTTTGTTGGTTAGCTGGGAGGGATCTAAACTGTCTCTCTGTTCTGTTCACTTGCTCATGCATATTAGTTCTAGAAAATAAAAAGTTAAGGTCTGTCAGTATTTAGCGTCAACTATAAATGCAAAGAACCCACATTTGAAGATACTCCAGATTACCGCTATTATAACTTCTCCATCTTTACTCAAAAAACCTTAGATCTCATTACACAATGATCCTCTAACCAAGCCAAAAGACCTCAATTCCTAAGAATTTTATAGAGAATGTGGTTATTTTAGACTGCAAATTATGAAGCGGTTATCTATTCCCAGATCTGTGCATGTTAGCATCACCATCAATGGCACTGGTTCACAAACTGAAGTCTACATTGGTTTGAATACCATTAGAAATTCACGGAAATAGACTGATTGGACAAACGGTTTGAAAATATCACGCTTTTAACTGTGCATTGAAACAGTAAAGAAAATAATATTAAAAGAGTATACACTATGCTGCATAAGACACAAGGAACTCACTTCACTTTTAATATCACTGTACGGATTCTGTAAAGACTTCTCCACATGCTTACCTTTTCACACTGAACAGTCCAATGAAATCAACAGAACTACTCACAATATGGAAAATTAAGTATGTGGATAAATCACTACACAATTGAGGCCTTAGTTCTTTACCTTGAGCCACTCGTTAACAGAAAAGTTAAGAAGAACAGGAGTACTTGTGGCACCTTAGAGACTAACAAATTTATTAGAGCATAAGCTTTCGTGGACTACAGCCCACTTCTTCGGATGCATATGCATCCGAAGAAGTGGGCTGTAG